AGGACAGATTAATGCATCTAAGGAGGGAGAAAGACTGAAACATTCATCCCTAAGGTGCTCAGGTCCAAAAACCAAAACCTCAGTCTTGTCTGTTCAACAGGAGAAAATTAGGGGTCATCCAGGTTTTTATGTCTTTAAGACATGCTTGTAGTCTAAGTAGCTGATTGGATTCATTGGGTTTAATGGACAAATATAACTATCATCAGCATAACAATGAAAATGTATCCCATGTCGTTTAATACCATTACCTAATGGAAGCATATACAATGTAAAGAGTATTGGTCCAAGCACTGAACCTTGAGGAACTCTATGACTAACTTTGGTGTATGAAGATTTACATTTACAAACTGGAATCAGATAAATATGATTTAAACCAATCTAGAGCCATTCCTGTAATTCCAACATCATATTCAAGTCTTTTTAGTAAAATATTATGATCAACTGTATCAAATGCAGCACTGAGGTCTAACAGGACCAGTATAGACACAAGTCCATTGTCTGAGGCCATGAGAATATCATTAGTGACTTTCATCAGTGCAGATTCAGTGCAGTGGTGAAGTCTAATCCCTGAATGAAACTGCTATAGATTATTTCTTTGTAGATGTTCACGTAACTGACCTGCAACTAGTTTCTATAGAATTTTTAGATGAAAGTTAGATTAGATATAGATCTATAGTTGGTTAGGATTCATGAGTCAAGGTTATGTTTCTTAAGTAAAAGTTTAATTTCAGCAATCTTAAAGCTCTGAGGTACATACCTATTTATTAGAGACAAATTAAGCAGATCCAAGACGTGGTTATTAATTAAGGGAAATACCTCTTTAAACAGTCTGGTTGGGATGGGATCTAGCAGACATGTGGATGGTTTGGATGAGGTTATTATTTTTGACAATTCAAAGAGCTCAATAGGACAAAAACTGTCCAAACATAAATCAGGCTCTAGTGACATCTTAAAGTTGTCTCATCTGACACAGAACCAGAGGTGATACTAGGAATGTTGGTTTGAATTTTTTTCCCCTAATTGAAACAATTTTCTTTATAAAGAATCTTATGAAGTCATCACTACTTATAGTTGTAGGGATACATGAATCAACAGAGATAAGATTTTTCATTAGACTAGCTAAGGTACTGAAAATGAACCTGGGGTTATTTTTATTATCATCAATTAAAGATGAATAATATAAAGTTCTAGCTTTACGGAGAGCTTTTTTGTACGTTAGCAGACTATCTCTCCAGGATAAGTAAGATCCCTCAACGCTAGTGGAGCGACATTTTCTTTCTAGTTTTCCAGATGTCTTTTTTAAAGTACGTAACTCAGAATTGAACCAAGGAGATAATTTCCTGTGATTGATTACTTTCTTTTTCAGCGAAGCAGCTATTTCGAGTGAAGTTTGCATTGAAGTTGTAAGATGATCAACTAGATGATCTAAGTCACTGTTCTCTGATGCATTACTCTGCAAGACAGAGGAAAACATTGATGGAAGAGATTGTTTCAATTTGGTTACAGCATTTTCTGATAAGCACCTGCTGAGATGAAATTTACTCAGTGACTGTGTAGTCATTTAATGTAAACTCAAAGTTATTAAAAAATGGTCGGACAGAACAGGATTTTGAGGAACTATTACCAAGTCCTTAATCTCTGCACCATAGGTCAGAACTAAATCAAGAGTGTGATGATAAGAATGAGTAGATATTCAGACATTTTGGGTAAAACCAAATGAGTCTATTAAATTATTAAAGGCTGTGCTTAAACTATCACTCTCAACATCCACATGAATATTGAAATCACCCATTATTATGATTTTATCAGTATTTAATAATAAGTCAGTTAATAATTCTGATAATTCAGACAAAAACTGAGTAAGCGCCTGGTGGACGATATATAACAACTAGTAAAAGTGGCTTTTCTGATTTCCATTTAGGATGGGACAGACTTTAGAGACAGCGACTCAAAGTATTATAACTAATAACTGGTTTGGCATTAATCAATAATCCTGACTGAAAAATAGAAGCTACTCCTCCACCTCGGCCAGTTGTTCTAGGAACATGAACATTTAAATAATTAACAAGAGTGGATTCATTTATAGGGCAGCACGGTGGCGCAACTGGTAGAGCTGCTGCCTCTCAGCGAGCAGGTCCTTGGTTCAAACCCCGGTCCAGGGGCCTTTCTGGGTGGAGTTTGCATGTTCTCTCTGTGCATGCGTGGGTTTTCTCCGGGTACTCCGGTTTCCTCCCACAGACCAAAAACATGCATGTTAGGCTGATTGGTAACTCTAAATTGTCCCTAGGTGTGAGTGAGAGTGTGAATGGTTGTTTGTCTCGTTTGTCTCTATGTGTCCCTGTGATGGACTGGAGACCCGTCCAGGGTGTCCCCCGCCCCTCGCACAGTGATTGCTGGACATGGGCACCAGTGACCCCCGTGACCCAAAATGGAATAAACGGGTAAAGAAAATGGATGGATGGATGGATGGATGGATTCATTTATACCAACAAAATCCTCCTGTTGTAGCCAAGTTTCTGTCAGACACAATAAATCAATATGATGATCAGTTATCAGTTCATTAACTAACAGGGATTTAGAGGAAACAGATCTCATGTTCAATAATCCACATTTAATGATTTGATGATTTTGCTCTGGTAAAGTCACTGTGTTTATTTTAATCAGATTTTTATGGTTTATCTAAAAATGTTAAATCTGGTCCTCTGGATTTCTACCTGGATTATTGAGCATGCATCAGGATATTTTTATGGTTTATATTTTTTGAGCTGATTTTTGGATTATTTAATTTGAGCCATGGGCGAGTTGACACTGTTTCATTGGGGGTGTGGGGGGGTAACAGAGGAGAAGCAGCAGCAGAGAGGGGTTGAGGACTACACCTCTGCTTCCTGGACTGGTTTCTACACTGGACCATTAATGGTCCACAACCCAGATGTCCAACTGAATCAGCTAAGTTTTTAGAGAGAAGTGCTGCTCCACATGTACCACATGTGGTGTGAATGACAATAGACACCTTGACCTGATTATCCATGTTGCTGATCTCACGCTGCTGATTTATTACATGCGTGGGGTAGGTGTCCTCTTTTGTTGCACTAAAGCTGATCTTTGTAGAGTGCTCATCTTGGTGTGGTCACAGGTGAACACCAAGTTTGCTGCTTTCCTCCTCCTGTGTCTGCAGGTGTGTCAGCAGGTGAGTAGTTGAGTCCCAACTCATTGTCAGCTTCCAATTTACTACTGTTGGTGATTAGCTGACTGAATTTTACAGGTCCTTGGCTGAGGTTGGGACCACTGCTGCTTTGTCTCCACTGACGTTACAACTGTTGTCTCTTTTGAGAATTACCGGTGTTCTGGCTCTGTGGAGGACCACTGCTGTTTGGGTTCTCCAGATTGTTGCACTTAATTGTCCTCGGACGCCTGTGGCTGCTTCACTGGACTTCTCCACCATGAATTGTTTGGGGCGTGGTCCCTGAGCACTCATGTCAGTGGCGTGGGTAATTAGCCACACACCTGGGTCTGGATTACAACTTTTAAAATGATTATTTGATGTGTTGAGGTTCTGTTTTCTCTAAATAGTTTTTCCTTTATTTTGTTTTGTTTACAGCCCATTTTGTTTCGTAAACTGCTGTGAATAATTTGGATATTTAGTTGGGCTGGCATTTATTTTTAATAAATTATTGGGCATATTGTCAAATTACTATATTTGCAATTGGTTTTTCATTTTCTTTTTGATTAGACTTGGTTTGGTGGTTGCCCCCCCTTTTTTTTTTTTTTCTCTTTTCCAGTGGCTGGGGTCTGGGGTTGTACTGGTTTGGTGGCCTTCTTCCGGTAACCTCAGCTCCTGGGTTTTGTGTTGCTTTTTTTGTTTTTTCCATAGAACTTTAAGAAAAGGTATACAAATATTTAAAGTATTCTAAAAATATTTATGAATCAAAATTGAAATGAATAAATTTTCTAAATTTTGCAAGCCTGTCTCAGATGTCCTCAGTATTTTTGTGAGATCTACGAACCGGTGTGCCTTGTAAATTGCATAATTTTAATGAGAACCACTCGGTTCCACCAGTTGGAAACAAAAAAAATCCAGTTTTCGGGATTTTATGAAGTCATTCAGCAAGAACGATTTCAGAATAGATTAAGCTTTTGTCCTTGGTTACCCATGACCCAGGAGAAATTTGATAGTCGGCCCGTCTCCGAGGCCGTTGGGGAGTCAGATTCAGATAAACTTCGATTGTTTTTTTTTTTTTTTTTTTTCCTTCAGCCTCGAGTCCATCTGAACTTTCTGGTTCCAAAAAGGCCTAATTGTGGGATTCCATTCCACTGATCCATGCTACGAGTCTCCCTCGATATCGATCCCACCACGCTGACGAGTCCCAGAAGCCGCAGGTAGTCTGCGATACTCATAAATCACCTCCACCTTACGGTTTAGCTCGTAAATCAGTTGATTTAGCTTACTTTCAGCACAAACCAAACCTTCATACTGACTCGGAAGCTTTGTCATGACCAAAATTTCTGCCGATGTCTTCTTCAAAAGTTGATAAAACAGAGCCTCGCTGATGCCAAAAACAGAGTC